TCACTGATGGCGAGTATAAACATTCGATATAAAACAAATACGTATCTACTTGCCGCTCGGCAACTGCTGACCTTGACAGCTATGAATTACACAATTCATCTGTTAAGCTGAAGCTTATTCCATGAGTATTCTGATTGATATAAAATTGCTGCTAATTATTGATGAAAACGATAACAATCCTGTACCAACACGATGAAAGAATCATGAATTGTCAACTTTCAATTCTAGGCTAGATAAAATGATAGTTATTTTTCATCTTTTCTCTCCAAGATAAGACTACTGTTCTTGTGTTGAACAAAAGTTACTATGATCATTGCATGCAATAAGATATCTAAACACTTAGAACTGGATCCCATCATTGAGTTCCAAATAAAATTCAGTGGCGAATGTTACCAAATTTCAACGGGACATATCATTGAACCCATTGAACTGGGAAAGTCCCAAATCGTCTCGGTGTGAGAGGAGTGTGGAGCCCGTCAATGTATTAATGCGCCATAAGAATGGTCTGGTTGCGCACCCATACTATCACACAATAGTGAAGAGTGGGGTTCTGTGAGCCTGTCCAATGGGTTACTGTGACATTATGACATGAAACAAAAAATCTGGTTCAGATTGGAAGATGCGGTATCGCCTCCAGCTGAGAGGAAGCACAACACCGCCGTAATCCTATGCATAAGTCGACCGTTGGAATGAATTCGAGTTAAGAGGCTCACGAAGTTCGAGTATAAAAGTGTAACAAAACAGTAATAAATTTTACATTCCAAACGGATGGTGTTCATTCTTTTATTTGAACCTAATGGTAGTTTTAAGGTTTGAAGCTTCATCAACTTGCTAGTCAGTTGGTATGATTTGCAGTGCGCTTACAAATCATAGACAATTCACTTTTGAGTTGATTTCAGATGCAGAAACCATCTCATACTCTTAGATTTCTCATTTACTTGAAAGCCAGTGGTATGCACCTGTAGTACGCTTGAAAGCTATACACGACTCGCGGCCAAGGAGCCATACCATATGAACTCACAAATAAACCCTGCGAGTTTAGTTAATCAAATATCCGATAGCTTCCATTATGACTTCGTAATTACCTACGTGATAGAATCATCACACCATTACGTTTGGAGCTCAGAACATTTAAAAATTTTCAGTGTCAAGATGATTTAAATTAAAATGAAGAACATAAAAGACAGAGATCAGCGGTGGAGGCTTCGTCTTCATATGCTGACTGATATATCTTTACAGTTTTGTCTCAGGTTAGACCATCAATCATGAATTCACAATTATGGCCCTTCGCAGCAAGCGCTACGTTTGATCCCTAAATATTAGACCTTATGTCTGATTGCTACTCCTGCCCCTTACATTTGTTCCTCATCTCTTCATCTGTTAAATGCCAATGAAACGCTCAAGAATGACAAAAACATTGAAATGGCGATATTTTATTTAATCCATCGGATTCCGGAAAACCGAAGTAAGAGTCCACATGTGACGTTAAAGTGAAAAATCAAAGTTGAAAAAAATTCAACGTACCAATTTCAACTTCGAAATATTCAACCCCACAATTAGCATTTCAAATTTTCAACTTCAAAATTTCTTATTAAAAACATTTCAACTTCAAAACTGTTAATTCTAAAGGGTCCAACTTCATAATCTTTGACTTCAAAACTTACAACTCTATGGCTTACAACTTCAACATTTTTCACTTCAAAATTTTTTACTTTTGAAATTTTCACTTATAAATTTCCAACTTTGAAACTTTGAACTCCAAAATCTACAATTTCAGACATTTTGAATTTAAAATTTACAACTTTGAGAATTTCAACTTCACAATTTTCAATTTAAAAATTTCTATTACAAAATTTTCAACTTCAAACTTTCAAAATCGACATTTCCAACTTGAAAATTTCCAAATTCAACATTCCAACCTCTAATCTGGAAATTATCAATGTCAAATTAGGACTTTGTTCAACTTTCACATGTTCAACTCCAGAATTTTCCTTTTCAAATTTTTCAGTTTTGAAAGTCAATAACTTTAAAATTTCCAATCTTGCACGCCTCAAAACTCTAAAATGTTACAAATTTAAAGTCTTCCAAAATCGAAACTTCAGCGGGAGTTCCAGGTCCAGCATGGACTGCAAAGAAGACTTTCAACGCGACTTGGGAGATGATCTCTAGTTGAAGTCCTTCCATTTCCACGATGATGCTGAAATGTATAATATAAAAATTCGCAAGTATCCCTTAACCCAAGAAGGGAATCAGCAGGTAGAAAAGGAAATACAGCAGGTACTCAATGGAAATTCTACGATGAACGCATCGCAGACTTGATGTAACAGGCTTGATCGCAACTTTCAAAGTAGGCGATCGGCAGTTGAATGATTGTTTTTAACCCGAGATTGGTCACCATAGGAGGGAAACGCCGCGGTGTCGTAATTTTTTTCAATTGCCATTGACTGGCAAACCAGAAAAATTGACAAGAAATTGACTTTTTTCCAAAATTGAGGAAATAGTAGATCATCTCATCAGGTGATAAAAGTATTTGATCGCTGGCGAATGTGGCTTTATAATCTGAGCCGGAGGCTAGGATTATAATCACATTCGTCAAATATCACTTTTATCGCCGCGTGACATGCAATATTTTATGTCATTGGGCCCGAAAACCGTGATCGAACTGAGCGAAGCGAGGTTAGAATCGCGGTTTATCGGGCCTAATGATATAAAGAAGAATTATTTCCAACAGAAAGATTAAATTTTTCCCATAGGAAATGAAATTGCCCATTACACGATATTACCAGAAACCTGCTAAACGCGCCCACACAATATAAAATGAATTCGGGAACGCTGAAGCCTAAATAACACGGCGGTAAATTTCCAGGGAGGTGACCGAGTTGCAAGGTCGCGTATGATGACCAAACTATAGGGGTAACAATTGAGAGATCGCGTTCGCCCGGTGACGCGTTCGTTGTGTAATCTCCTTGATCGTACCTTCCGATAATGTGACTTTCCGTTAGTTTATGAGTAGGGAATCAGAAGAAATATCTATGAAAATAACTCAGTTGGAGCAAATTGAATAGGCGGGAAAATTCTGCGAAGGTCATTTTCCAAGAACATTCTCCTTCAGATTTCTCTCTCACAAAGTGAAAATTATCCCCCTTCAGCCAGTACAATAAAAAATAACATTCATCGACTACTGTTGACGCGATAGACGAGAGAAACGAAACGAGACGAGACAACTGTGAGACGATATGATATGAGAGACTGATTTTATAGTTATTGCCAAATCCAGACAGGAGACGAGATGTCTCGACGAGAATGGTTGCAGTGAAGAAATGACAAATTTTATAATAAAAACTGTTGATTTTACTTCAATCCAAATCAATCTTAACTAACTTTCTTGGAATCTTGGAAACATGGGACAGTTGTTCTAAACATTTTTTTACATAAAACTGAATGAGATTTATAGGAAAAAAACTGATGATTGGTAACATAATCATTCTCATGAATAAAAATGACAAATTTTTCGAGTCAAATATAGCAAGGGTCATGGCTTGTGAGGACTAAACATCACCAGGGTTATCATTTGTAAAGGCCATACGTTTTCAGGGTCATACCTTGCGAGGATCAAACGTTGCAAGGATGATAATTCACAATGGTCAAACAACAGAGGCAGGCAGGACAACCTCAAGGATCAAACGATCACAGCAGTTAACTGCACGGGGCAAATGGAACATTTACAAGGGTCAAATGATCATAAATCGAGCGAAATAATTTAATCCTCGAAGAATACACTGGCAACGTGTGATTCTTGTGAGATTATGACCCTTACGAATTTTGACCATTGCGGGGTATAACCCTGGAAATTGGGATTCCACAATATCCTACGTGTCGTACTGAGTGTTCACATTGTCTCATTATGAAATTACTTTTTTTTAATTCATGAAAGCAAAACGCGAGAATACGAGACGAGAAAAGAATCCATAGGATTCTTGCCCCTCGAGACAAGACGAGAGAGTCAAAATTCTCGTCTAGTGTCGTATCGCAACATTATTGGCAACATTATTGTCGACGTATGCGTCTCAGATTTCGTGGCAGTGGTAAGTGCCACGAATGATCAGCAACCAACCTTAACGCCTGGCTTGATAACCGCGGTTAAAATCTGTTTCTCCCCCTGTTCCAAAATGCAGGATATCTCTGCAAGTCATCCCGAGTTCTACTATATCTCGCTTGGCTTCCTTCTCTCCAGTCGAATCGGTTTCTGCTTCTATCTCTTTTGTTCTGCTTCTATCTCTTCTACTTCTACTGCGGCTTCTATCTTTTCTGCTTCTGTCGCTAGTCTCGTGTCGCCTAGAGTCTCTACTGCGGCTTCTATCTCTTCTGCTTCTGCTTCTGTCGCTGGTCTCGTGTCGCCTAGAGTCTCTACTATTAGCGTTGTCTGTATTTCCAGCACTTCTACCTTCTTCCTTCTGGGAGTTTCCCCTGCTCCCTGACTTGCTGGGCCTACTCACTCCTCTTCCACTCCCATTACTGTCATCGGTTGCAGCCTGATCTTTCTGCCTTCCACCTACAATTTCCATCAGAAATTATTCTATTGAAAAAGTCAATAGAATTCAATTTTTCTATACAATTTATTCTATTGAACATTTCAATAGAATCGGCCAAAAACTAATAGAAAGTTCGATAGAAATCCAATAGAAATGTTTAGCGAATTCGCTAGGTTTTTCTATTAAATTTTTTCGTGTGTGTGTTCTTATTGGTGAGTCAAGTTTCTGGAGGGAATGTGTGAATGCGTGCATTTTTTAGCATGTGTCTGCGTTGGGCTTCTTTTAGGCATCTTACCTCGGTTCAAGTTTTCCCTTGGATTCTCTCCTAATGATTCCGAAATTTCAGAATTTTTATAAGATTTAGGAAACTCGGGTTTTTGAGCTTGTTCGGGAATCATGCCTTCAGGAGTAGACTGCCGTTGAAGGTCCGTCTCTTCCTGAACTTGGTCAGAGATCTCCTGAGGCAAAAGTTCTCCAGGGACTTCCTGTTGGGGAACTTGTTCCTCAACTTGTTCAGGGATCTTCTGTTGAGGAACTTGTTTCTCAACTTGTTCAGGGATCTCCTGTTGCGGCACATGTTCCCTAACTTGTTCCGGAGTTTTCGATTCAGTAATCTTCGATTTCTCGGCGGGTTTCTGAACCTTTGGTTCTTGAGCGGCTCCGGAAGCACACGGTTCTTGATGCGATCGAGAAACCCCTGGTTCAGAAGGTCTCGGGTGTTGATCTGAATCCGAATCTTGATCAGTAGTCGTTATTGGTTCAGAAACCCTAGATTTCTGAACTGGCTTGGAACGTTTTGGTTTCTCAGTATTGCGTTCGGGTATCGATTCCTCATTACTTGCACCTGGACCAGCTGCTGTTATCGTTGGTTCATCCACAGTTTCTTCTCCATCAATAACTCCACGCTCTGAACTGTTGTTCTTCCCGGCTGATTTTTCTGGCTATTATTCTTCGGCCGGCTCCTTGTACACAATTGAGTGACAATTCCTTTACATTCATTCTCATCTATCCGATCGTCCTTTTGGACCAGGCTGTTGACTCCCCCTAGACATAGGAATATCGCACTGATCTCATCTGAGTTGGAAGCGGAAGGGCACACTAAGTGCCATTTCCAGAAAATGACACTGAATTCAATTTAACGGAAAAAAGTCTATGAAATTTCAAGTTTCCCTGAAACTTCAAGGAAATTCCTGATTTTTCAGTGACATAACCATGAAAATTCCAAAATTTCCATGAATTTTCAATGCAAACATGATAATTCAATAATAAATTGCTCTAAAATTTCCAAAAATTGAAAATTCAATGACATTTTTGCTTGAATTTTCCTAATTTCCATTAATTTTCATGGAATAATTCAACTGAAATTTAAAATTTCCATGAATTTTCCACGAAAACAACCAATTTTCAATGGTAAAATTTCCTGAAATTTCAATGAAACCGTCACTTGTTTCATATTTCAAAACTAAAGCCTGGAAAGTTCAGTGAAATTTTTTTAACAGTGTAGCACATGACTGAGCATGGTGATAATAACCATTTCGGCAACAGCTGTATGACTTTAAAAGAAATGGCGGATGTAATTGATTATATCATCTGAACTTACACCTCACGGCATTGAACATCGATTTCGGAATGGGTTGTTTATTCTTCCCACCGTGCACAGTCATATTCTTCAAGTTTTCCCCAAGAAGACACCGCATCAAGTCACACACAAACTCGCCGGATTTATTCCCACTGTGTTGCAGGGCATTCCTCAACAATCTCTTTTTCACAAACACATCAGTGTTTGGATAAATTTCAATCTATGAAAAAAGTTATTGAATACTGAGTTTTTATCGTTGCTTACTTTATTTGTCCGACTTACTTCATGTCCACGTCTCTGTGCTTGAGGAAGAAAATTATACTCCTTTCCATCACCAAGAGGCCTGCGTTTCGATTTGGTTTTTCTTGGAATTTCTGGATCAGAGCATGGTGATTATATTAGTAATGCCTCGAGAGACTTCACGAGACATCACTCGTGAAGTCTCGTGAAGAGACTTAGTATTGCCGAAGTATTGTCTTGTGATGCCTCGAGAGACTTCACGAGATATCACAAGACAATACTTCGGAAGAATCGTCTTGGTCTCAGTGAGCACCGAATTTTGTGGTCTTGTCTCAGTCTCGCAATACGCGGTATCAGAGTCTTCCCAGGATGACGCCGAATCAATTCATCTCATGTCGTTTTCTGTACGTAAAATGTCGAGACGAGACAGACCGAGATAAAAAATGCGATTTTATATGATCAAACACGAAAAACTTGAGACCGAGATGAGATAAATTGTCTCTGAGTGATAATGAGAAGAGATGATAATATCTTCTTCCCGACTGAGATGAAACCAAAGATTTCCATGTTCATTTTGAGACCGAGACCTTCTCTCCAAAGTGGAGTCTTATGAAGTCTTTAGCGGCATCATTAAATTATATAATCGTGGAGGTATTTGGATGCTTAACTGATTTCGATTTGTAAAATACGATTCCCTCAATGGGCTACAATTTCGGAAATACAATTAAACATCCAATTTGATTCGATTTTCAGTTTGACCTGCATTCCTCGAAGCTAACATTCGATTAGTCTTCGTAATACAAAGTTAAATTGAAGTTAAAACTGTAAGCTCGAACTGAAGAATCAAATAATGTCGACAAGAGTGAGTCATTTTTCGATACTAGTTACGAGGCCCGAGACGGGAGTCTCAACTCACGAGGCCCGAGTCACCGGTCATGAGACATGAGTCATGAGGCACAAGATATAAGACCCGAATCACGAGAGACAAGACACGAGTCACAAGTCACGAGATATGAGTCCCGAGTCACAAGACACGAGACACGAGTTACGAAGCTCAAGGCACGAAACCTGCGTCACGAGACACGAGGCACGAGCCACGAAACATGAGTTAGAACATGAGTCATTACGCGACATGAGCCGCCAGTTACGAGGCACAAGGCACGAGTTATGCAACATGAGCCGCCAGTTACGAGCCACAAGTCAGGAGACGCGACTCAAGAAAATCAAAGAATGTCGGCAAAAGTCTTTTCTATTGAGTACGTTGCATCTTACCATTCTCATCCTCAGTTTTTCCCTCCGATAAAACATAAATGTGACTTATTCTTTCTTGTCGCTTGAATTTTGGTGGCTCATCATCATGTACTTCACGATCCATCCTTGCCGCATGTAAATCCTTTGTATGTCGAGTTGAAGCTGTTTTTTTTAAGGAACTGACGACTTCAACCCCTCACGTCTGCGACTATCTCTTACTAAAGGAGTGCCCTCATCATCCTTGTGACCCTCACGTCTGCGACTATCTCTTGCTAAAGGAGTGCCCTCATCATCCTTGTGACCCTCACGTTTGCGACCATCTCTGGGTGAAGGAGTGTCCTCATTATCCTTGTGACCCTCACGTCTGCGGCCATCTCTTGGTAAAGGAGTGTCCTCATCGTCTTCGTCATCTTCAAAATCTTGATAATTCTGAGTAGATGCTGCCGAGGTTTTAGTTGAATCGATGTGCTCTTGTGATTTCGATGATGATCCACTCTTCCTTTGTACTTCTTCCTCATCATTCCCTTCTCCACTTCCTTCTCCCTCACCTTCATCCTCATCCGAGTCTTCAGCATCGGCGTCAGTAGCCTTGTGGCTTTCATTATCATCCTGAGCTGAAGCCGGGCATTTCCTCGTAGAGACTGGGGTTTGGGTGAGATCAATGTGTGCTGTTGGTTTGGCTCCGTCAGATTTTTGTGTATCTCGGCGAGGTGGACGTCTCACAGTTTCCCTCCTCTTTCTCTTGTTTGAGAATGTGTCCCTTTCCGCTCTACCAAGTCCGTCCTCATCAGTGCTCTCCGTGTTACGTACCCTGTACGTGGGTCATACGACGTACGCAACTGTTTCAATTTTGTTTTTCTTTATATTCTTTCAACCGAAGAATATTCCCATATGTTACCTCGAATTATTTATCGCTACAGTATCGTTAATGTCACAATGTGATATGACAAATGTGAAGAGTTAATTAAACTCCGGTTATCAAGAGCATCACAATAAGTGGCCTAATAGAGAGTTAAAAGGGTGATTCATACTAATGAGTTGGAGCACTTTAGGATTGATACGAAGACTATGGACAACTGTCGCCAGGTAAAAAACCAGGAGGAACAGCCAAGGTGGCACGCGCCTATTCCAACTGCTTGGAAAAACCTGACATCTGATCCTGTGGATAACTTGCAGCTAGGCCATAAAGATAAGATAACCATCAACAGAAGTTTGACCATAATGGGCTTTTGCACTTAAATTAATAGCCAGGCTAGTGTTGTGGTAACTATTCCCATGGAAACGTGGAAAAGCCGAAAACCCACCCAAAAGGGCTACCGGTGACATAGAAGTGGAAATTGGGGCGGAGTTGTGACCAATCATCGAATTGTCTAGTCAAATCGGACAATTAAGAAGTTTTTGGTTGGATGCGCAGGCCTAATTAAGACAGGAGGCAGGACTCATAAGACAGCCCAAAACCTCAGGTTTTTACTATAAAAATGGCTGCAGGAGCCAGGGAGAGTTAGTTCGAAGCCGAGAACTCAGAACCAAGAGGTCCTAATTATCATCAGTGTCTTAAAACCACCCAGTACAAAGTAGTGCTCCCCAATTAACTTCAACTGAACGAGTCAACTGCAAGAATCTCTGAGGCCAGAGTCGATAGCATCCGCTATCCCACCACCATTCAGCGAGGACGACCAACTCCTAGGCCCTCTCCGGCCCTGTTGAGTGACTCGATTATCGACCGCCCACTCGCCACCCACCGAAGGTCATCACGCAGAGCCAAGCTGAGTCACGCGATTCAACTGAACCCCCGCTGAGCGTTAACTGAGCAATTCCTCTCCAACCCTTCCACCAACTGTAAGTGTCTATGTCCACAATTATCCAACTCATTTATTTCTCTCTTTTCCTGTTTTCCCTCCGACGGTTTTTACCCTGGGTTTTCGTGAAATTACTCCAATTACGAAATAAATAGTGCAATCGGTATAATTTGGTCAGTGTTTTCCTTTACGCGGAATATCGTTGTTGTATTTTAATACTTAATCTCGAACAGCACGGTCCCACCCTAGATTTCACAAAAGAAGGTAATTATAACATCGTTAACCTCATCATCATCGAGACGACCAGTTCGTGACCAGTGACGATCAGGTAAGAGCTGACAGGTAGATTTTCTCTCCCTCTCACTCCAATCTAAACCCGGTTGTCCGTAACATCCGTATCGTCGATCACAGGATAATCTCGAGTTCTGGTCTCATCACCAGTCTCATCACTCAGACCTCCCGCTGTGAGTAATGATGATTCAAGATCGTCCAATTTTCGCATTTTTCTGGGTCTTCCTCTCCTTTTCCAGGGTGTTCCGCTGGTTGAGAAGTCCTTACTTTGCAGATGCTCTAGATCATCTGAAAAAACAAATCGATTCCGCAGCGGATTCCACACTTCGTTGGTCTCATTGATCTCGATAAACGTAAAATACGCTTTGTTTAGGCGTAATTTACGTTTTCATCAACGTAAAATACGCTTTGTTTAGGCGTAATTTACGTTTTAATAAACGTAAAATACGCTGTTTAGGCGTAATTTACGTTTTGATAAACGTAAAGTACGCTTTGTTTAGGCGTAATTTACGTTTTGATAAACGTAAAATACGCTTTGTTTAGACGTAATTTACGTTTTTATTTTGATCGTAAAATACATTTTTTTAAGGCGTAATTTACGTTTAGGTTTTTCTGTGTGTATGAAAAAAATCGAAATCAGCTGCGTAGGAGTAGAATTCCAAAAAACTGGCTCGTAATTGTTGTTCCACACATTTTTCCGAAAATTTTGAAAAAAAAATCTTTTGTAGCTCAAAAATTGGGGGCCCTGGACTGTTTTTAGCATTTTAAGCGTTTTCGGGCAAATGAACTATGAAAAAATTTGTTTGCACTAATTATTCGTTTTCAGACCTATACAGTCGAGCACTAAAGTTCATGAACAGCCTGAACTTGTATTCTACGTATTCTGTTTACGAACTTTAGTGCTCGACTGTATAATCGATCTTCAACGTATGAACAGTCCCACTCCAATAACCCACGACTTTTAAAACTCATAGTAATCTCCCCTTAAGGTTGTTGGGACAAAAATTGAGAAGGAAGGAATGTATAACAGATCGGAACCCAGATCTAGAACTGCGTTACTACCGATTCCTCTTCTCAATAATTTTAAACTAGGGTGGATTGTAGAATAGTAATGAAAATCTTACCACTTTCTTCCAAAACTTTTTCTATCTTCCAATATTTGCCCTCCCATTTCACCATCAACTCATTTTTCTTATTATAGCCAATATCCTTCCTTAGAACCACAGACACCGTACCCGGAACAGTGGCCCAGAGAACTATTGCGAATTTAGCATGTTCACTCATAGCGTTTCTTCGTAAAATCTCTAAAATTAACAAACGAATTTTATTGGGAAATTCTGGAAAATCACCATGGTATTCTTGATGACCATGATGAACGACTCTAAACCCTCACGGCCGACGAACATTTTTATTTATTTATTCTCTATTATGAAAAAACCCCGAAGAAAAAATGGATGGAAACAAATTCATAGAAGACATAGTCCACGGAACAAGGAAAAAAAGCCAAATACTCACATTATTTTTATGCTGCAAACGTTTCTTAATTCCCAATCCTAATGAAATTCTTTATTTATATTTATCGTCAAACATCCCTCACGAGATGTCAAGATCCGCAGCAACTTCGGACGTAGGCAAAACAAAAAATGTAGATTTAGGACCGATTGATAGATATATATTTTTTGAACGTTCTATATCCAAGTAACTTCGCCAATTATTGATTCGGTTTTGTGCCTTTAAAATTGTAGGCTAACCGAGGTCTCTCATAGTTTTTTTGACATTCAAAATAGCTATTTTTGTTGTCAATTTTTCTTTTACTTTCATTATGTACAAAACTCTATTTTTCCGATTTTTAGTAATTGACCAAATTTTTTTGTTTCAGAAGGAATAAAAATAGATTTATGATACAAGTGAAAAAGAAGAGTAGGGGAGGTTTGGGTAAAACGGACACTTTTGACTTTTTTTTAAATGTTAATGAGGGGTTGAAATGTTGATAAAATTTAATAATTTTTTTTTCAATACAGAGAATAATTCTTTCCTTTTGTGTCGAACCTAAACTGAGCTCAATTGATCAATTTGTTTCTGAGTTATGAATAATTTTAAAAAAGTCTAAAGTGTCCGGTTTTCCCCACCCAGCCCTATTTTTTTGCACGGTTTGCGCGCAAAGAACCGCCTTTTTCTCATCACTATCATAAAATGTCGTACGACAAACAAGAAAAAAAGTAATTGTTGACGAGCGTGATTACAGCTCTCGCTTTCGGCTCGTCCTGTAACCCTCACACTCGTCAACAACTATTTTTTTCTTGTATATCTTAATATGCTATTATAGACCTTCAGTATATATTTTCAATGAATATTTCCCGTTCTTTCGATTGAGCATAGTTTTAATTATCTCACCTCATCGAAAATGCTCTAAAATCTCCAATGAAGTTCAAAATTCCGCGTTGCACCCCTTTACCCCATCTCGATTGCAGATTTTTTTTATGTTCGTTGAACTGACTCTTTTTTACAGGAAATGTAAAAAAATCAGGTCCAAAAGTTTGGCAAAATTAGGCGTTTTTTAGGCGCTTTTTTGGCGCCAATTTGGTTTTTTTGGTGCTCTTATAGGATTTCTCAAAATTGCGTTTTTTCAATTTGAGCATCAAGTTAGTACAAAAAGTGGGGAAGAAGGCGATAAAAAAATCAAAGCTTGGGGATAATTAGGCGCTTTTTAGGTGCTCTCAGATATTGGAGAAAAAAATTGCGGTAAAATATTTTTTTTAACAAGATGCAAACGTTCGCAATGATGGATGGAAAAATGGTAGGGGAGATAGGCATATGAGTATGGCGAATTCCTCGAATTAGGTGGTATTCAATGAGACAAAACGAAATTTTGGTGCTCGACCCACGGCCAACTTGTCCAGAAGATGAATCGAGTTAAGAGGCAGGGTCATTAGGCATTTCTCCAGCAGTCTCGGAATGATGGACATGCTTGGATACACTAGGCGCTGTTGAATGGAGACAATTGAAATTTTGGTGCTCCGTCTCTTGGCCGAGATCCAATGGAAGCTCAGTCGAGTCAAGAAACGAAGTCATTGAGCAAGTCTCCAGCAGTCTCGGAGTGGTGGACATGCTTGGAGACATTAGGCGCTCTTGAATGGAGACAATTTCAATTTTGGTGCTGCGTCTCTCCACCAAGATCCAATGAAAGGTCAGTAGAGTCAAGAGTCAAATTCATTGGGAATGTCACCGCCAGTCTCGGAATGTGGACATGCTTGGATACATTAGGCGAACTTGAATGGAGACAATTGAAATTTTGGTGCTCCGTCTCTCGGCCGAGATCCAATGGAAGCTCAATCGAGTCAAGAGTCATAGAGTCAAAGTCATTGGACAAGTCTCCGCAGTCTCAGAATTGTGTACATGCTTGGAAACATTAGGCGCTCTTGAGGGGAAATAATTTGAAATTTGGTGCTCCGTTTTTCAACGGGGATCCAATGGAAGTACCGTCGAGTTAAGAGACAGTCATTGGGCAAGTCTCCAGGAGTGGTGGCCCATTCCGAGACTGCTGGAGACATGTCCAATGATTTTGTCTCTTGACTCGACTGACCTTCCATTGCATCTTGGTCGAGAGACGGAGCTCCAAAATTTAAATTGGCTCCGTTCAAGAGCGCCAAATTTCTCCAACCACGTTCACCATCCCGAGTCTAGCGGTGATATGTCCAATGACTCTTGCCTTCATTTGCAA